ATACAGATAGATTAGACACCAGGATACAGATAGATTAGACACCAGGATACAGATAGATTAGACAGCAGGATAGAGATGGGTTATACACCAGGATACATATAGATTAGACACAGGATACAGATAGATTAAACTCCAGGATACAGATAGATTAGACACCAGGATACAGATAGATTAGACATCAGGATACAGATAGATTAAACACCAGGATACAGATAGATTAGACACCAGGATACAGATAGATTAGACATCAGGATACAGATAGATTAAACACCAGGATACAGATAGATTAGACACCAGGATACAGATAGATTAGACTCCAGGATACAGATAGATTAGACAGCAGGATAGAGATAGGTTATACACCAGGACACAGATAGATTAGACATTAGGATACAGATAGATTAGACACCAGGATACAGATAGGTTATACCATGACACAGATAGATTAGACACTAGGATACAGATGATTAGACACCAGGACACAGATAGATTAGACACTAGGATACAGATAGATTAGACACCAAAATACAGATAGATTAGACTCCAAGATACAGATTGATTATACGCAAGGATACATATAGATTATACACCAGGATACAGATAGATTAGACATTAGGATACAGTTAGATAGATTTAGAGAAACAAGCCGCGAGACAAACAGATATATATATATATTTAATATTTATTAAGAAAATCAAATATTAAATTCTATTTCGCGAGAGAAACTTTTACATTTATACTTACACTCAACTCAACAAAAGATTGTGTGAATATAGAAATTAACAGAACAAGATTTCCTGATAAATAAGTTAAAAGGTCAAACAATTGTCTACAGAACATTTTATTTTTCAATTATTCTTTATTTTATAGATTTTCAATAGATTGACACTTTTTCGATTTAAGGTTCGGTTTACAAAACAATTTATTAAGATTTTATATCACAGCCTCAAGATTGGTTTATACAGCAGGGTTATTTATAAACATATCATCTATTTTCTTTTCAATCATTTTAGGACTTTTATCCACAGTTTTTTATCTATCCATCTACCATCTATTTATCTATTTATGATTTACTTATCTCTCTATGATATTTATTTATTTATGATTTACCTATCTAATATCTATTTATGATTTACTTATCTCTCTATGATATTTATCTATTTATTAATTATCTAACTATCCATCTATTTATGATTTACTTATCTCCCTATGGTCTATCTATCTTATTATGATCTACTTATCTATCTATTTAATATCTATCTATTTATTTATGATCTATATGTATGGCCGTCAACCTGTCTCCCCAGTTTTCTGTCGATCTATTTGTGATCTATCAATCGATCTATTTATGATCTATCAATATATCTATTTAATATCTATCTATTTATTTATGATCTATATGTCTGTCCGTCAACCTGTCTACCCAGTTTTCTCTCTATCTATTTATCTGTCTATCTATTTATCCTCTTGTTTCCGGATTCTTGTCAATCTAGGGTTTCCTGTGTACCTCCTTCCCCCCCCCCAAGATACCTCTAATCTTCAGAGCTTCTCCAGGTCCCAGGTTTCCCCAACCTTCAAAGGAAAAATGAATGAAAAGTTTTAAAAGTTTTAAAACCAGTTCAATACCAAGCAGCAAGTAGCAAGTTTTAAATATTTCTTAAAGAATCAACAGTCAAATATTTTAAATCATCTTCAACCCAAACTCAACAAAAAATGCCTCTTTAAAGGGACTGTCCTTGTAATTTCAAGTTACCGTCCATTTAAAAAGAGCAGCATGCCCGATGTATAACGGTACCCTTGAAACCTGTTTATGATCGAAAATGTGAAAGATAATTTACTCTGTCTGTAGCAAGTCACGTATATATAAAAGCCCCAAAATCGAGAATAATCAATTTTTAAAGTTTGTTTAAAAAAAAATCTCAAATATTTTGTGGGACTCTTAGCCAGTCTGGATTTAAAAAAGAACCCAAACTTGATTTTTATTTTTGTTAAGAAAAGAATACAATTTTGAAATAAAGCTTGCCACACACAATTCGGTCCTTATCCCAGTCGGCATATGGGTTTTAAATGAAAAATTAAAAAAAGACATTTCGTAACCTTATAGGCTTTTGAATTATAAACTTAAACGGGATTGAATTCAAGTAACAAGACGCTTTTATTGTAAAGTAATATTTGAAAATAATCTATTTTTGAGAGACAAAGAGGGATATATCATTCATCCTTGAGCCGACACTGGTTTTAAGAGCTAGTACCGATGTGCATCAGACATTCTACTCTATCAAGGAAAGGCCACTTGAAATTACGTTTACAGATCCTTTAAACACAGACTTTTATTATTGTATATTATTGTATATTATTGGATATTATTGTATATTATTGTATATTATTGTATATTATTGTATATTATTGTATATTATTGTATATTATTGTATATTATTGTATATTATTGCATATTATTGTATATTATTGTATATTATTGTATATTATTGTATATTATTGTATATAATTGTATATTATTGTATATTATTGTATATCATTGTATATTATTGTATATTATTGTATATTATTCTTGTATATTATTGTGTAATGTTGGTTGGATAAAAATGGCGGAGGGGCGCCTAGTTAAGGAAATTGGCAAGATTTGTCTTATTTTAGACATAAACTCGGTAAAATGAAATAGTTCCACAGATTCTAGTTACTTGGATACTTTTGTGAATCGTAATGGAAGTATTTTATAACAAAGGAAATATTGCCACGTCTTTTTGGGGTCTGGGAAAAAATCATCATTAACTACTATTGGAGATCCACTTTCTTTGGAGACCCCTCATGGATGTCTCGTTGGAGACCCCCAGATGTCATTGAAAACCCCCATATTTTCATTTGAGACCCCATTTTTTCGTTGGAGACCCCCAGATTTTCATTGTAGACCTCCAGATTCTCGATGAACACCCCCATATTTTAATTAGAGACCCCCCATTTGAATTGGAGACCCCCATATTTTCATTGGATACCCCCATTTTTCATTGGATACCCCCATATTTTTATATTATTTATATTAAAGACCCGAAAATTTGGGGTCACCAATGAAAATATGGGGGCTCTACAACGAGAATCTTAGGGTCTTCAATGAAATTATGGAGTTTTCCGACTAGAATTTCGGGGTCTCCAACGAAAATCTGGGGTCTCTTACTAAAATATGGGGTCTCTCACGAAAATCTGGGGTCTCTCAAGAACATCTGGGAATGTCCAATGCAAATATTGGGGTCTCCAACAAGAATCTGGAGGTCTCCAAAAAAAAATATGGAGTATTCAATGAAAATCTGGGGGTCTCCAACGAAAATATGGGGTCTCCAATTAAAATTGGGATATCCAATGAAAATATGGGGTTCTCTAATGAAAATATGGAGGAATCCAACAAGAATCTGGGGGTCTCCAGTACGAGACGTCTATGGGGTCTCCAATGAAAGGAGGTCTCCAATGAAAGGTGGTCTTCAATAAAAAGAGGTCTCCAATGAAAGGTGGTCTTCAATGAAAGGAGGTCTCCAATGAAATGTGGTCTTCAATGAAAGGAGGTCTCCAATGAAAGGTGGTCTCCAATGAAAGGTGGTTTCCAATAAAAGGAGGTCTCCAATAGTACTCTAATAATGATGATTTCTTCCCAGATTCATTTTTTTGCATATTAAACGCATTTTTAATATTTTCTCCCCCGACCCACCTCCAAATGCTTTGGATATTTTCTCAAAGTATGAATAAGTTAAAAAATGATGTTGTTTCCTCACTCTTTTCTGTACACACTGCACAATACCTTGAACCATGTAAAGAATAAACAAGATAAAAGATATGAAAATAAATCATCCTGATATATTTTAAGCATCCTTGTATGTTCCGTCTCAAGTATGGGGAGATATAGTAGAAGCCTAGGTTTGGATAGTGTATCCCTGGTTCCAGCTGTACCTTGAGCTCCTGGTGTCCAGGTAGAATGGGTTCCTAGGGTTGATATCTCCGGGATAAAGATTGATTGGATCATCTCCTAAGTAGACTTCGAGTTGTAAATCCTGACAGTTTAATTTTGTTTACTTTTCCCTCGGGGATAAATTGACTCGGATTCCCCCTGCAGCCCCCCCCCCCCCCATCTATGGGGTCTCCAATGAAAGGAGGTCTCCAATGAAAGGTGGTCTTCAATAAAAAGAGGTCTCCAATGAAAGGTGGTCTTCAATGAAAGGAGGTCTCCAATGAAATGTGGTCTTCAATGAAAGGAGGTCTCCAATGAAAGGTGGTCTCCAATGAAAGGTGGTTTCCAATAAAAGGAGGTCTCCAATAGTACTCTAATAATGATGATTTCTTCCCAGATTCATTTTTTTGCATATTAAACGCATTTTTAATATTTTCTCCCCCGACCCACCTCCAAATGCTTTGGATATTTTCTCAAAGTATGAATAAGTTAAAAAATGATGTTGTTTCCTCACTCTTTTCTGTACACACTGCACAATACCTTGAACCATGTAAAGAATAAACAAGATAAAAGATATGAAAATAAATCATCCTGATATATTTTAAGCATCCTTGTATGTTCCGTCTCAAGTATGGGGAGATATAGTAGAAGCCTAGGTTTGGATAGTGTATCCCTGGTTCCAGCTGTACCTTGAGCTCCTGGTGTCCAGGTAGAATGGGTTCCTAGGGTTGATATCTCCGGGATAAAGATTGATTGGATCATCTCCTAAGTAGACTTCGAGTTGTAAATCCTGACAGTTTAATTTTGTTTACTTTTCCCTCGGGGATAAATTGACTCGGATTCCCCCTGCAGCCCCCCCCCCCACCCGGGGGAACTGTACGAGACACAAAAGGTACATGGGGAAGTTTAGGGCTAAGATCCCCCCCGGGGTAACCTTGACTTTGCTTCCTCAATATTTAGTATCTGCCCCTCACACTTGGTCTAGTATTGGAGCTGAACACTATAGGACGCATGCTCCGGCTTCTGTGTTCTCTAGATCTCAGATCCGCATACTAGTCCAACCTCGGCTCAGCCTCAGTCTACAAAGTGAGATCTAACTGACAGAGGGTTGATCCAAGGATGGGATAGCTCCTAACACCGGTTTAAGACAAGGGTAAGGAACCGGTTTAAATTTACATAGTTCAAGTTGTAAATATCCTAAAATCTTGGTCCGTAGACTCTAACTATATAAGGAAAATACAGTGTGTTGATAAAACATGAAAACATGGTTTAGAACTATACTTGTAATAAAACCCTCCCCCCGCCAATCCAAATCACTTTAAAACATTGTCCTGACACGGGGGGGAAGAAAGTTTGTTAGAACATTGTTCTCCTGTATTCCAGGCTTCCCAAGATACAAGTTTTATTCCTCTTCTCAGCCAGGGTTTAACAACCGGGGTTTAACACTCCGGTTTAGTTTAACAGATTGCTCCTTGGTTCATGAGATATATTATCATATAGAACAATGTAGGAAGATATACACGCTACAAGGGGAAACCATTTTTATTCTTTTAAAAACTTTACGATCTCTCTAAAGCTAAAATAAAATGGCAATTTGTTTACTAACGGAATTGCAAAATTAAAAGTTTTGTTTATTCAAACACTTTTTAAAAATTTTATTTGAAAAATTTATTTCAATGTTTTTTCTAAATTATATTACCTATAATATGTTATATAGTTAGCTTAAATACTAAAATAGAATGGATAGGATGGATAGGATGGATAGGATGGATAGGATGGATAGGATGTATAGGATGGATAGGATAGATAGGATGGATATGATGGATAGGATGGATAGGATGGATAGGATGATAGGATAGATAGGATGGATAGGATGGATAGGATGGATAGGATAGATAGGATGGATAGGATAGATAGGATGGATAGGATGGATAGATTGGATAGGAATGGATAGGATGGATAGGATAGATAGGATGGATAGGATAGATAGGATGGATAGGATGGATAGGATGGGTAGGATGGATATGATGGATAGGATAGATAGGATGGATAGGATGGAATAAATTAAGTATCTCCGATACCGATAAATGTATCTGGGATGGTATGAGCTTATGTAAATGAGATGAATTAAATGTATCTGGGATGAAATAAACGTATCTGGGATGAAATAAATGTATCTGGGATGGAATAAATGTATCTGGGATGAATTAAATGTATCTGGGATTAATTAAATGTTTCTGGGATGAAATAAATGTATCTGGGATGAACTATTGTATCTGGAATGGAATAAATGTATTTTGGATGAATAAAATGTATCTGGGGTGAAATAAATGTTTCTGGGATGAATAAAATGTATCTGGGATGAAACAAATGTATTTTGGATGAATAAAATGTATCTGGGATGAATAAAATGTATGTGGGATGAGTTTAGTGTATCTGGGATGAAATAATTGTATCTGAGATGAGATAAATGTATCTGGGATGAAATAAATGTATCTGGGATAGAATAAATGTATCTGAGATGAGATAAATGTATCTGGGATGGGATTAGGTTATGTATATCTGGGATGAAATGAATGTATCTTGGATAAATAAAATGTATATGGGATGAGTTTAGTGTATCTGGGATGAATAAATGGATATGGGATGAATAAATGGATATGGGATAAATTTAGTGCATCTGGGATGACTTAATGGAATCTGGGATGAAATAATGGTATCTTGGATATGAATATAATTGTATCTGGGATAAAAATAATGTCTTTTGGATGGTTTGAGTGGGATCTAGTAAAGTGTAAACTTTAATACCCTAAAGTTTACAGATTTATCAAAGTGAACTGTAACAGAAGTTTATATATGTACATAAATATAAGATAAGATATCTATTCTATAGAATTACCTTCTATGGGGTCTCCAATGAAAGGAGGTCTCCAATGAAAGGTCTACCATCTATTTATCTATTTATGATTTACTTATCTCTCTATGATATTTATTTATTTATGATTTACCTATCTAATATCTATTTATGATTTACTTATCTCTCTATGATATATTCTCCTTCTCCCATTGTAAAGAAAACTAGTGAAGTCCTCTCAGCAAAGCTTTCTGTTCTTAGGTCAGGTTATATGAATAGCGACAATGTAGTTAAACTAGGAAAGACTACTTTAACTACTTTTCTAGTTCACTACATTTTCAAGTAGTTTTCAGCCTATTTGGAAAAGTAGTTCATTGCCATACTTGGAAATGTAATTCTTCGGCTACTTGAAAAAGTATTTCTTCTGCCTATTAATTGGTTATTTGGCCTACTTGAAAAAGTATTTCTTCTGCCTATTAATTGGTTATTTGGCCTACTTGAAAAAGTATTTCTTCTGCCTATTAATTGGTTATTTGGCCTACTTGAAAAAGTATTTCTTCTGCCTATTAATTGGTTATTTGGCCTACTTGAAAAAGTAGTTCATCTATTCGTACATGGTTTACCAACAACTCAGTATTTATGTAAAATCCGACCCAGACCCTTCGTTTTTATCAATATTTATATCCTCATAATGATTACAGACCTATTAGTTATGCTTGAAATTAGGGAATAAATAATGAATATTTACAAATCCAATAATCTACCCCCCCCCCCCTACCCTCCCCTAGTTACTAATATTAATGGATTATGAATGATGAGACGGATTTGGAAACAATGGATTATCATCAACATATTTTGCATATAATGAAGAGGACATTTGTACTTTTAGAATAATTGTGGGAAACCACGTTATATTTATTTAATGTCTAATTTTTCAGATTTTTTAAAAACAATTTATTTTCTTTGAATCTAAGAATTTAAGATATTCAGAGATCAGAACTTTTGAATGAAATTTCGGTAATTTTTCGGCTTCCGCAGTGGAAACCTTTACTAATTCAGCGATTAAGTGCTTAATCTGTAAAAAAGATACGAGTGTTAAGAATACAATAATTCCGACCTTTGGGGTAGATAAAAATAAAAAGCATAAAAATACATCAAACCTTGGAAACCATTAAAATCGTAATCTGATCAAAATGTTTTAATTCTGATCATTTCTCCATTGCTTCTTATTTTCAAGAAATACTCAAGTCACTTTTTCAAAGAAAAATAAACAGTTTTAACAAACAAAAAAATGGATCTTATTCATACTAGTTCTGACAAAGCTTTCTAGGGTACCGTTGTAAATCGGGCATTGCCATGTCTTTGCATGGAGGGTCACTTTACGCTTACAGTCCTTTAACACGATAAAAAATTCAAGTTACCTAAATCCATTTTGATATTACCTTGACGTGAAAATATTCTTTCCTTGGAGATTTCAGAATTTTGTTTGTTCTGTGAGTTTTAATTCCTGGGGGAGGGGNTATAGTTCAATTTCTTAATGCTGTTAAAAAATTGATTTTTAAAGGTTTGTCAAACAATATTTTCTTTTTGCTTTTCGATTTTCAACGAGGCCTCCACATCCATTCTAAAATTAAAGATAATTTTTACATTTTCAGTTTTAATCCCAAACTGAAGAATAATTTATTTTCTATAATTATTTGGGAGGAAATGAAATTGATCTTGAGGTTGAGCTCCAGGATTGTCTGAAGCTAGATTAGAGAAGATTTCATTATAATTTTCATAATTAGTTTCCCCACCTTCAAGTCTACCCGGAGCTAAGGGGTTAGTTGAGACCTGGAGTATAGTTTTCCCACCTTCAAGTCTACTCGGAGCTAAGCGGTTAGTTGAGACCTGGAGTATAGTTTTCCACCTTTAAGTCTACCCGGAGCTAAAGAGATAGTGGAGACCTGGAGCTAATTTTACCACCTTAAAGTCTACCCGGAGTTAAGGGGTAAGTGGAGACCTAGAGTATAGTTTAACCACCTTTAAGTCTACCCGGAGCTAAAGGGTTAGTGGAGACCTAGAGTATAGTTTACCCACCTTTAAGTCTACCCGGAGCTAAGCGGTTAGTTGAGACCTGGAGTATAGTTTCCCCACCTTTACTACCCGGAGCTAAGGGGTTAGTTGAGCTCTGGAGTATAATTTCCCCACCTTTAAGTCTACCCGGAGCTAAGGGGTTAGTGGAGACCTGGAGCTGTAAAGCTACCGTGGAACCCATAAAAATGTGGAATAGGAAGACGACATTTATAAATAAGTTTTGATCAAATAGTTTTTGTTTCAGAACATTTTAGACATAGGTTTATCTTTATACACTCTATTCTTATAGATTAATACACTTTATATAAAATGTTTATATTTAGCTGTAAAATTATTATATTAAATTTTACCTGAAAATTTTACACTTGTCGAGTTTTTGCACGTGCATTATACGGTTTATTTTTAGAATTCTAAACTTAAATACAATTTCATCGTATTGAGATATTGAAGAATCTAATATAAAATTCTAAAATTAGATCAGCTCAAGAACCATATTTGTCAAGTTCTCTGTTTTATTATTTTATTGGAGTGTAAAACAAATTTGAATTTGTTTTATTTCACTCCGTGGAATTGAACAAATCCAGTACTTTGTATACTACAGTGAATCCCGGATATATGAATACATGGACCGTCATACGTTTTTTTGATAATTCTAAAGAAACTTCTTTTTATTTTTAATTAATTAATTAAATTCATAGACCTGAAATATGAATGCACTTAATATATCATAATTAAACTCATTTTTCCGCGGCATTTGATCTTAAATATGTAAATACGACATATAAACTTGCTATGTATTCATATATCTGGGATTCACTGTATATAAATGAATATATTGACCACATTTTGAAAACTATAACTGCTAGACCAAATTGGCTAAAACGTTTTGAAGGAACCCATGCATTGTACCCCTCTGCGCCCCAGGGCATTTAAGCTAAAATTGTGATGATGTAATATGAAGCTCGGGTAAACGGCGGAAATAACTATGAATATTAATATAAAATTGGGCAACGCCGAGACTCTAGCAGTGTATATATATACATAAATACTATATTATTCCGTTGAACTTGCTGCGTATTTCTCTTCCTCTGTTTTTGCTCTTTTACTCTCCAGTCTAAACCAGAACAGCGTCATGAAACTAATTGTTTGATCTTTTCATTCAAAATAAAAAGCAAATTTACAAGTTTTAGCTTTTTAAAAAATAAACTATTATAATAGCTCGG